GCCCCGACCGCGGCGCAGGGTGGGTTCGGGAGGCCCTTGGAGCGCTCCGGCCAGGGACGCGCGGTGAGAGCTGCGGGCCCCGAAGCTCGGGTCTGGGGGTTGCGGTGGGAGGACGGGGGCGCTGCTGGAGGAATGGGACGGCGTGGAACTGGGGCGAGGGTCCCGCCCAGGAGAACCCCCTCCTCAACCCAGCCCAAGCCACCACTCCCTCCCGCCCTGATCTGCACCTACTCTTCCCTTACCAAGGGACGTCCGTCCTTCCAGTGTCCCCGCCTGGCTCAAGCCCCCATCTGAGTAGCGGCTCTCAAAGCAACTGGGGCAGTAGGGGCTGCCCCCCGGCAGGGCATAATGTCCCCCGCGGAGGGGCCCAGCGCAGCCCTGGCAGCAGAAGTGATTCTCGTGCCAGCGCCGTCCCTCTGCCTCTGTGCAGCGCCCGGGAGAAGATCAACTGGGAGAGGGAGAGGGAGAGGGAGAAGGAAATAGTCCATTCATTCATTCACCCATTAATTCATCCAATAACCACGCCTTATACCTAGTTAACGCTAAAGCACGTCCACAGACATTTCCATTTGATCTACTTCGTCACTCTTAGCCGCATGTGGGCTGATTGGCTTAGCCAGGATCCCCAGCTAGCAGGTGGCAGAGTCAGAAGTTCAACCCTGGGCTCCTGGACTCCCAACCCAGGGCTGGGCCTTGCCTCTTATGCTGACATTAAGGGTCTTTCTAGCATGATTAAGCACAGCATTGAGCATCACACATGCTGAGATGAATATCCAAGACATTCATTCATTCCCTGCTCCAGAGAAATCTCTTTGAGTCCAAAAATTTTGAGGGACTCTGCTTGTGATGGGGGCGGGGGGGCACAGATAAAGGCAGTGGGTCTCACATGACCAGAACTCAAGTGAAAACCCACGTTGGGTGGTCTGGCTGGTTCCTAGTTCTCCCTACCCCACCCTGCAATACTGGGTCAGGCTACAGCCCATAGAGTATCTGTCTCCTTACATCCAGTTATTTGGGGCTTTGGGCAGTATCCCCCTCCTCTCCCTCCCCTCAGTATTATACCTGGTCACAAGCTGGGCATCGTGGCCGCAGCAACTCAGCATGATGACGACCACAGTAGAGATGCCCTTCATGGTAGAAGTAGATGAGGTTTACCAGGGCCTGGCCACAGGCCTGGCAAGTGAAGCAAGGCCCATGCCAGCAGCACTGCTCGCCTGCTGGGGCTGCAAACACGCTGTACTCTCCAGGCTTCAGCTGCTCCCTGCACTGCCGGGTGGGGACACTGGGCCAGTCACAGTCACAGTCTGAACCAACCTTCCAGCTTTCCTTCTGGCTTCCATTGCAATCCCAACCTAACTTGTTTTATGCCCTGGCAGGCCCACCCCTTCTGCAGTCTCCACCAAGAACTCCCAGACTTGGTTTCCCTTTGTCCCTAAGGTTTGCTAAATTGCCCATCCCTAAGCCCTGTCTCCTCAGAGTCCCAGAAGCTAGCCCCTTCTGTAGAAGTGAGAGGGCAAGGAGTGGAGAAAGGAAAAGGATTGGGGAAGGGGAACTCCATACCTTCTCACAGGTGTGTCCTTCAAGCTGGGGAGTTACCAGGTGGGCCACCCCTTGTCCTAGGGCCTTCTGCTTCCGCTGGACACAGAAGAGCCGCAACTCAGCCAGTTCATCCTCCCCAAGGGCCAGGCAGTAACGTTCCTACAGAGACAGGCCTCTACTATGACTGGGACAGCCCCAGCAGGCAGGACTAAGGTTCAACTAGAGAATTCTAGAAGGCTTAGTTGCTGGGTATGATAGAGCTAGAACTTCAGGAAATAGCATAGATGCACTGAAAAGAGGGAAAAACTATTGAGAAAGTCCACCACTGTCTCACCCTGTTCTCTCCCAGAAAGGTAATAACTCAGGGCCTGACAGCCCCATACCCTGTCACCACATATCTAGGTCCTTGCTCCCAAAGAGCTACAGCTCGGCATCATTTCCTGTTCTTGTGTTTTCTCTATTTCATATGCTTCTGTCTTGCCTCCCAATTGAACTGTAAGCCTTTAAGCTGGACACATGTAGGACCTCAATAAATACTAAACCACCATGCTCTCTACATTTGTACATTCCATTATTGGTTTCAAAAATTGTTCATGTCCATTTTCTCATTTGCTTTTGAACTAAGCATTGTGGAAGACATGGCAGATGTTATTGTACCCATTATGTAGATGGGAAACTCAGGCTGCAGGGAAATGACTCCCCCCACCCCCCGCCATAGTAGAAGAGCTTTACTTCCCACAGCAAGTAAAGGGGGAGAGAAAAAAGGAGAGACAAACAGAAGGGGAGGTGGAGAAAGAAAACTCACATCACTGTCCTGTGGAGGGAGCTGCTGCAGGAGGGTCTGAAGCCCAGGCCAATTGGGGACATGATTGGTGTCCTGATGAGGTATGCCCAAGCTCAGTGAGGGAAGACAGCAAAAGAGGAGAGTGGAGCTAGGTCTTATTCTTCCTTTCCCCCTTTCTTCCTCCTCAATGCCATCTCCTCCAACCTAGAGCAGCTTCTAAGCAAACCCCTTATACTAGGATATTCCTTCCAGATACTCAATGCACAAGGACACAGGTCACTTCTGCATCTGTAATCTGTCTTTAGGGAGCCCCCCAAAAGCTTCCCTTCTTGTACTTGAAGCTACCCGCTTTACTCCTTGAGGCCAAAGCCCTCAGGTTGGCTTTGACTACCCAAGCCCTAGGAGAAGTAGGGAATGAGTCTATCCACGTCCTGAGGGGCTGTAGAGAAAGGAATTCCTGAAGAGGGAAAAGGGCCATAAGAGAAACTGCCTCCCACTTGATGGAGAAGGAAGGAGATCCAAAGGACAGAGAGCATGTTGGTCTCAGGAAAGGCAATACTCTTACTACCTGAGCAGAAGTATCCTCAGGGTCCTCTTCTGGCAGGTGGCCTGAGTCATCTGAGTTGGCCGAAGGACCTAACTCCCTGGAGATGGGACTGTCCTCTTGGTGGAGCCAGCCAGAGTTCAGCATTGACATTGGTGGCAAGATCTACCCCAAAACAATAAGAGCCACCTCCATTCATTGGGCCCTTATAGTATGCTAGGCAGTGCTGAGTGCTTACAGGCATTATCTCATTCAATCTTGCCAACAACCAGGTGACTTAGGTGGTATTGTTGTCCCCATTTTATATATGGCCAAGCAGAGGATCAGTGAACATAAATGGTATACCCAAGGTCAAACAGGTAGATAAGTGGCAGAGCCAGATCTCAAGGCGAGGCCTTTCAGCTTGAGTTTCTGAAGTTCAAATTCTGGAGTCTCCCAAGATTGGGTGGAAGGGAAAAGGAGTCCCACAGTGGGAGGAGAGGGCATTTTGCTTTTTTGGTGAGCCCATGGGCACCCCAAAACAACCGAATGCTCTCCATTTCTCCATAAACCCATGTCCCTCTCAGCTCATCTAGTCTATAAGCTCTGTAGGACAGAGGAAAACGTTGTGCTTTTATTTATAGCAGCTATTTATTTCTTGTTTTCTTTATTTTTCTTTTGCAGTGCTGGGAACTGAACCCAGGGCCTTGCCCATGCTAGGCAAGTGCTCTACCACTGAGCTACATCCTCAGCCTCTATGGCAGCAATTTCATTGGATAATCTTAATACATTTCTTTAGACTTCCTTAGCAAGTCCTGATGTGACTGCAGTATCTTAATGGTGAAAAGAAACTACTGAAGTATAATAGAGATGGGCTCTGCCTTCAAAGAATTCATAGGCTAGTGGTGAAACTAGACCGAATGGGACCAGAACGCTGGGCACATCACATTCACTGGGGGAAAAAATTTACCATTACCACAGCAGCCAGTGTGCAGTGGTACAGGCTGTGATCCCAGATATTCAGAAGGCTAAAGCAGGAGAACCACAAGTTCGAGGCCAACCTTGGCAACTTAGCAAGACCCTGTCTCAATATTAAAAAAGGGGTAGGGACGTAGCTCAGTGGTAAAGTGCCCCTGAGTTCAGTGGGGCTGGTGGTGGGGAGGATTACCATAGTCATTTTTTTTTTTGTTTACTCTGTGCCAGGGACAATTTTAGGATTTTACATAATATAGTCCATCCCCACAATAATCCTATAAAACAGTTTATTTTGTCCCATTTTACAGCTGAAACAAACTTTAATATGTCCAAGGTCACACTAGAAAGCTAAAGGAAGCTTTAGGAGGAGGTGGCCTCAGAGCTGGATGGAGTCTAACAGCAGCTGGGAATAGGGGGGTAAATATTAAATCTCTAGCCTCTTTTAAGACATGACTTTGGAGTTGGGCCCAGATTTGGACCATAACAGTTATCAGTGCTTCCCAGGCCTGAATCCTCCTCAGCCCTGTTTCAAATGTCCTGTGCCACCCTTCCCTTCTTTCTGGCTCCACACCCACCTGCTTCCTTCCTGTTCTGTCCTCAGGTCAGGCAGATTTCCTGTAGAAGACAGCCAGGATAGACTATTCAAACTGGGAGCCAGGAGTAGCAACTTCCCCTAACAGCATTGACCCTGCTCTAGATAGCAAGAAGGAGGACATATGGGACCCCAGAAGGGGATTTGCACTTTCTTCTAGGTTAGCTAATAACTGAAGTTTAGCACAGAAATGTCCGAATTTAGATACAGCGCTCAGATCTTTGTCTCTCACTCTTCCCTCATCTCTACCCAGAGCAGCCTAACTTACCTCCACCTAGCACTGGACCCCACCTTACTAACATGCCATATTTCCCCTCTCTCCTCTGCCCAGATGAGGGACAGGGTTGAACCGCCGCCTCCCCGCAGGTGGAACCACGCTCAGGGAGTATAGAAATCCCCAACCCACGCCTGCATAGAAGGGCAGAGTCCGACAGGCTCTAGGGGTTGGCGAGCAGGAGGGAAGGGGTTTTCGCCGGACAGTTGCGGGGAAAGGGGCGGGGAGTGTCCGGTACTGCCAAGTGCCCTCTTAATAGATCCCAAAGTTTTTCTAGGACTTTATGGGGCCCACCCGCAGAGAGGGGATATGGGGTGGTGTGGTTTCCAAGTCTGCTCGGGCTCCTTGTCTGGCTAGTAGCCTAGGGAAGGGGACCGGGACTCCGCCGGGACCTCACCGCAGCTTCCCGCCGGCGTCCGCGCAGCTCTGGACAGACCCGCCCCTAGCCCCGCCCCCCACCTCTGCCCGCCGGGTAGGTGCGGCCCTTCCTCCCCGCTTCCCCAGCGGTCCTCGCCCGCCCGCCCGGTCCATTGGGATCTAGAACAAATGTCCAGATGGTGGAGAGGGGCGCCGCGGGGAGGGGGGACTTAAGAAGAGCATTCGTGGGATCCCAGGGTGGAGACAGAGCAGGCTGCCCTGCCCTTGCCAGGAGTGGGCTTTGCGCCGGGACTCCGCCCAGGTTCTTAGCCGCGCGGAGAAAGAAAGCGCACAGCGGAGTCTGCAGCCTCTGCCCCCCGGAGGGTCCCAGGTCCCCTCAGACCTCCCCTCTGGCCCCAACCCTACCCCTCTCGGTGTGCTTCCCTCCCGTTCCCGTCTTCTTGTCCCCGTTGGTTCCCCCCGCCGTTTTTCCTCTCCTCAGCCCTATAGGGTCCCGCTCTTCTCCCTTTTTTTCCCTCAGACCTTCTCCCCTATCTTTGGTGCCTCCTCAGCCCCGCCTCCGCTTCAGGCCCCGCCCCGCTCCCGCCAGGGTTCCCAGCCGCTGACCGGGAGCGCCCTCTGGCGTCTGCGCATGCTCCCTGTTCCCGACTGCAAAGTCCTCCAAAGGGACCTTCTAGGCTGTGCGCCGGTCGCCCCCGCTCGGGTCCGCCCGCCCGCAGCGTCTCGTTGGTGCTGCTGGTGACCTCCGACCCCGCGGC